TATATATATATATATATATATATATATATATATATATATATATATATATATATATATATATATATATATATATATATATATATATATATATATATATATATATATATATATATATATATATATATATATATATATATATATATATATATATATATATATATATATATATATATATATATATATATATATATATATATATATATATATATATATATAAACTCAAATTAAGAAAAACAAAATTTTAAATATTTTTAATAAAATTTCGATAATTTGGTTAATTACCGAACCGAACCGTACGGTAAACGGTATTAAAATTTTACATACCGAAATTTTGGTATGATAAATGATTTTACCGAATGAACCTCTAAATTTACCAACTTAAAGTATTTTTTCGTAAGATAATACATAATTGAGCGGATTACTGTAATTATGCAAACAAAATGGGTTTTTTATATAATTTGACCTTACCTCTAGGGTGGCTGTAATTTGCGCTTCTTTTTAACATCTTCAACAATAATACCAAAACACATATTTACACTCTTACTAAAAAGGGGAATTTTGCTAGGCTGCCTGCCTATGCACCATTATTTTGGACTTATATAGGTAGATATCCTTTCTATTGGATATATATAGGTATATGTCCTTTAAGTAATAAAATTAATATAGATAAAATAAAATTATTAGTATATAAATATAAATACCCTCAATCATATTTATATGAAAAAAGTAGTTATTGGAGTTCGTTGGTATAACCCCCAATATTTTATTAACAAAAGAAAGGTTCCTGGACAAACTCTAAAAAAAACCCTAATATCAATTTTTCCCGCCTAACCTAATATCATAAAATTTAGAATTAAATATTTTCTAACCTAATATCATACAATATACTAATTAAATGTTTTATTAAATTTCCTCAAATTTTTGTATGTCAGGTTTGTTAAGTGTATATTTTTACACGTAATCATATCTTTTAATTAGAGTTTTTGGTATATTCTATAGGTAATTGGTGCTTGGTGTTTTGATTTATTGTGTTTCAGGCACAAATTGAAGAATTGAATAAGTTGTGGGTCAAAACTATAATTTAGAAGAAAAGGTGGACAAAATTGGAGAAGTCAAACATCCGAGACGCAATTTCAAGAGCGAAGAAGCAAACGAAGACGAATAATTCAAGGAATATAATTAATCTCTTAGGTAACCATTATTGAGACTTATGCTTGTGTTCTGGAATTAATTGCGTAGGAATACAATAATTGAATCTAGAGTATTAGAATCGTAATGCGGAAGCGGGTTATGATTAATTTAACATCTCAGGTTAGTAATTTGAATAAACTTGCATAATTGAAGGAACTGGGGAATTAATAATCACATAGGGGAAAGCATAAAATCCTATGCTTGTTTACTTTGATCAATCTTCGTGTTTAATTGCTTCCGTGTTTTTTATTGTTTAAATTGCTTTAATTGTTTTAGTGTAATTTAGAATAAATACTCATCTTTCGACTGTGTAGGGTGGGCTTGATAATAATTGGTAGAATTTAGCATCTAGAATTAAGTAATTAAATATTCTCTGTGGGATCGATACTAGAACTTTTAATCCATTATATTACTTGTTCGATACGTGCACTTGCATGTAGGTATTACCACCAACAAGTTTTTGGCGCCGTTGCCGGGGAATATATTAATTATTTATTTTATCCTAGCTCTAGTTTTGAACAATTATCACGATTCACCCAAATTTAATTTTTATTTTTATTTTAGGTACCGTTTTATGCGCAGGAAACTCGATCTCGACAAAGAACCGTTTGATTCCAAAATTGAACGTATTTGTCGAGCCGCTAGAAGACTTCAACGTTCAAATAATATACTGGAGGACGAAGAACACAGAGACGCAGAGGGTTATTTACTCGATGCCAACGGAAACCGAATCCAAGAACAACCCCCACGGCTTCCACTACAGCTAGCAGTTAGGCCACGGACACTTCAGGACTACATAATCCCGACTCTTGACGGATTCTGCCTGAGCATATCCACCCATTGAGGCGCATAATTTTGAGATCAAGCAAGGCCTCTTGACGATGATCCAAAATAACGGGTTATTTAGTGGATGGTAGATGAATATCCCCATCTTCACATTGTCAATTTTCTCGATACCTGTAACTCCCATCGTCAAAACGGCATTTCCCAAGAGGCGCTCCAATTAATTCTCTTCAAGCACTCCTTACAAGGAAGAGCTACCCAGTGGTTGATATTGTTAGAGTAGGTAACCAACAAGCCAACTTGTGGCTGTGGTCTTTACATTTATTCTTGTAATAAATAATCATTTTTCGTATTAATGATAAAACACCTTGGCATTCTATATCTTTGTCCCTTGTTTCAAACATAGATATAGTCCTTACAGTTATTACAGGTACTAGTAATTGATCTTTTAGAATTGTGAGATATTTACTTTAGTATTATAACTATTAAACGTGTTCCTAGTCGAAGGGTTACGCCACCAATGAGGATATCTGGCTTTCCCATTCAGAGACTAGCACTTAGTTATGTGTACTGCATCTCATCAGTAAACGATATTGTGATATTGGCATGCATAAGTGGGTGCTCGTAAGTTGACGAGTTCACTGAACTCCCTCACCCTAGAAATCTCTAAGTGGTTCTCAATAATCGAGTAGAGATATCTATGGTATAGTTGTACACCATTAATTCTCAATAAGCGGGTCAAAATTGGAATAAAGGTCAAAATTGGTTAATTGGTGAAATTGAGCTACATGGGTGTAAATCATCAAATTGGAGTTGAATTGGTTTTCAAAGAATTGGGGGCAATTTTGGTATATATAAAAGGGTTTTCCTTATTTGCAAATAAATTCGAATAAGCTAGAATTATTTGGAAGAAAAAAATATTGGATGTCCCTTTTTTAATTAAGTGCCCTAGCCATGGGCCTCTTTTTGACATTAACCCTATTAAAAAATGTCCTTAAAGAAATAAAATATGGATTATTTGGCAAACCTCCCTCATATGCATTGTGCAATTAAGATGGGCCTATATTTTTCTCTTTTTAAGAAAAATCCAAAATATTTTTAATCACTATAAATAATACAATTTTATTATTTTAATACAATTATACCCCACGATCTCTTCTCTTTCTTCTCGCTTGTTTCTTAACCGCCCTACTTTTCGATCTATCGTCTTCTCTCTTCGTCTTCTCCGTCTCTTCTCCATCGCTTTCGCCTCTGTCGCTGCAATCTTCAGATCGGTTTGGCCGAACAAGACAATATCCACAACTCATATATCCCATTCATATATTTCTAGTCAAAACCAAAATCGTCGCGAGGGGCTTCAGTCCCAGCAATTTCAACCTTCTCTCAACGTTACAAAACATGATAAGAAGGTAACAATTAATAGACTTGTTTGTTTAATTATTATCAATTTGTTCTTTTGTCTGTTTTATGTATTTGGTCCAATTAAGCCATAGGATTTTGAATATAGATTTGTTTATTTTTATTATGAGAAGGGATATGTTGAATTTGATTTAAGTTTTATTGTTTGATTATTTAAATAATGTATATAATTATTTATTCATTTTTTTACAATCTGAAGTTAAATTAGAAAAACAAAAAGAATAAATAATGATAACATCATTGAAAAAACAACACATTAATTGGAAAACAGCATATTAACTAGCAATTTGTGGAGAAATAATGGACTTTCTTGTTCATTTTTTTAATTGTTTTTTTTTTTGGAGTCTTTTGACTTTTAATTGAATAATTTATTTTCTTCGATAATTGGGAATATTATACGAAACTTAAAATTATGTTCTTCAATTCTGAGTATAATTATTTTTCTTCAATTCGGACAGAAGGCACAAGCTGCTTTTGTATGAATATATCGACAACTTTTCGTTGGGCTTGGGATTAAGTTTGAAAAGGTAAAACATAAATCTTATATGTTTGTTGTTGTTCTTCTGTTGTATTGTATAGTGGATTTCGTTAACTTCATAGTGGATTTTGATAAATTTATTGTGGATTTCGATAAGTATACAAAGTGATATTCGATAAATTTATAGTGAATTTCGATAAGCATACATTGTGGTTTTCATGTTTATACATAGTGGTTTTCATGTTTATATAGGTGTTTATACATAGTGGTTTTCATTGTTGTTTCATCATTCATTTTTCGTTTCAACAGATTTATGCAATATTAGTAGGTTGGAAATAATTTGTTTATGAAAGCTTCCGAGGTTTTGTTCCCAGTTCCCACTATTGATGGTGTGTCACCAAAGTTTGCTTTTGAAAATTGGTTTTCATCTGCTAATTAATATTTTTTCTTGTTCAGATTGATTTAGTGACCCTCGTCGGCCTTGTTGGTGGTGGTGTACTGGTCTTGCACTTTTTCCTGGACATAGTAATGGTTTACGTTTCAAATAGTGGATTTTCGAACAGTGAATTTACGTTTTTTTGTTTGTTATTTTTTGAGTCGTATAGTAGTAAATTACGTATATGTTTTTAGTGGATTTCAATAAGTTTGTTATGGATTATGTTAATATTAAAGTGGATTACGTTAATTTTACAAAGAATTTTACGGTATTACAGTGGTCTTCGATAAATTTGTAGTAATTTTCTATGAGTATATAGCGAATTTTAATTTTCGCAACCCTGGTGGAAAAAAATTGAAAAAAAAACAACAAAAAGTTAAAATAAAATTGAGCGTTAAAAATAATATTTTTTTTAACTTGATGGGAAAAAAAACTGAAACAAAATTAAAGCAATATTTTGTTTCAAAATTGAAATTGAAAAAAACAATATTTTTTCTGGAAAAAAAGGAGAATAAAAAGAAACTGTAATGGCGTGAGATTTATGAATTGTTACTTGGAGAGAGAGTACGATAGGGGCATTTCCGATAATTTGAGCCAAATTGACTTATGTCAAATATCAGTTAATAAAATAAATTTATCATGAATTCAAAATTAAATAAGGGGTCTTTGTCGTATAGTCCCAATAAAATATTGTGTTAAGAGACTCTTACCCAGTTTCCTACTTAATTAACCATATGAAATAAATAGGCACAATATTAAGTTATCAAACCCTGTACCTACTAATAAATTTGAAGATCCAGTCGGAGCAAATGATTTGAGGACAAAAATAACTGATATAATTCGTTTCACTATCAACATTTTTTGACAATGCCCTTCATTTTTTATATCCAGAGGTGCCATAGATGGAAACAAATTCGAAAAAAGAAGTAGAAGAAGATTGGGAACGAAACAAATTCGAAAAAGAAAGTTGCCTATCTACATCAGTAGAGAAGAAGAAATCACAATGCATGCCGATATATTTGTATATATATATATATGGATATATATAATATTATATAAGAAGATGAATCAGTAGACTTCAACATTCCATTGTTCTGCTCTCTTCAACTGCTTCTTGTAGTCTAACCAGTCGATACCTGAAAAAAAAAGTGGTTGATCAAAAGAGAAAGAGATCAAAGTAGTATATACAGCAGAACCTCGATAAATTAACAATCTCGCTTAAATAATAATTTCTTCCAGTCCTGACTCAGGTGAAAATGTACGTCGATAATTTAATATTTCGTTAAATTAATAGAATTTTGCTAGTCCCGACTGTATTAATTTATAGAGGTTAAACCGTACGTCAGAATAAAAAAAAAATTGCGATGTAATTAATGAATGGTGATGGAATTTACCGTCTTTAGCGGCCAAGGAAAGCATGATTTCGTCGATACCCTTTTCCATGCCCTTGAGACCGCACATGTAGACATAGGTATTGTCTTTCTTGAGCAGTTCCCATAGCTCTTCGGCGTACTCAGCCATCCTAGTTTGGATGTACATCTTCTCCCCTTTGGCGTTGTTCTGTTCTCTGCTAACTGCAAAGTCGAGTCTGAAGTTATCCGGGAATTTCTCCTTCATTTTTTCAAACTCCTGCTCGACGAAAAACGTGCTAAGTTTGTTAATTCTTATATAACTCTTCTACTTTAAAACTCGAGAGAATTCAATGCTAGAATCGGTTTTAAGCGGCGAATTAATGCATAAGTTTACCTCTTTGTACAACAATGAACTGCTTGTTGGAACACCCAAGAACAACCATCCTAAGCCATTGAACTGCAATAAAAGAAGACAACGGTCTTAATTAACATCTTAATAAGATAAGTTATGCCAGCGATATTGTTACGCATACGAATATGTGTACGAAATTAACAAAAAATGAGATCGGTTTTGTTACCTTGTAATCGTCGTGCTTCTCGAAGAACATTTTCCACAAGAACGAGCGGAAAGGGGCGATACCAGTTCCAGTACCAAGCTACATAGTAATTGAAATTATTATAGCCATGTTAATGAATATATTGTAACGAACGTAAAAATGGGCGATCTCGATCGGAGAAAACATACCATAATAATGGTAGCATTAGGGTCCTTTGGCATGAGCATCTCTTTTCCCACAGGCCCAGTTATTTTCACTTCAGTACCAGGTTTCAAGTCACCTGAATTCACATACAAACTTATCTTAGTGCGCAACTACATACGCAATTTATATGCTAGAAAAAAAATCAATTATATTTATTACTTACACAAAAAGTTTGAGCAAACTCCTTTAACTGTTTCCCCTTGGTCGTTAGTGTAGATGAGTCTTTTAACACACAGAGATACCTGTGCAAACCATATTAGAGAGTTGAAATTCTGCTGCTCAAGTATTTAATTAACATAATCTTTTATATATGAAAGCTAAGAGACCTAATGGCATATTTGTAATTTTTTTTTAAATTAGTTACATCTCTTATTTTCCAATTTTTTTTTTTTTTTCTCTAATGACTTTCATTGCAAATCGGATTTCTAATTAGTGTTGGGATATGTATGATCATATTTGTAGGAATATTAAATTATTCTGGGTAATTAAAATTTCACAACTAATTATTTTAATATAGTGTAATTTAATTTTTTTTAATACAATTTAACTATCATATATTTAAATTTTCTTCTTTTTTGCGGCCGCGGGAAAATTGGTAGTAATATATAATATTAGAAGGCTTACAGTCTTGGAGTCTCCAAAGTCGCCGAGGGCACTGCTTGCAATAGAATACAACCTAAGTTTGTGAGGCTTTCCATTCTTGTCTATCCCGTCAGGTATAATACCGATCGATTGTCCTTCTCTGTAAGGCACCTCCCCTGCACTCATCATAATATTCAATTCAAATAAATTAATTACTTGACATTTTATTGAGTAACCACGAGAAAATGTACGGAAGGACGACGGACCTTCGGTGCTGAAGACCATGTGCCAGGTTTCACCGGGAGCATCGTCGCCCGTGATTTTGGTGTTGAGAAGGCATCTGCCGACGTATGGTTCTTTAGGCCTATACTTGTTCACAATTACACCTTCTTCCTGTTTCTTTGATATCTTCTCCGCCTTTGCCGGCGCTTCTGTCGTTACCTGAGCTCTGATGGGCCCCACTTTTGTTACATTTCTGCTGTAGTACAACGGCACCTGCATTTTGTTGCATATTGCATATCATCTATTTATACGTATGCTGGGGCGTACCCCAATTCATTTGTACAGAAAAAATAAACTATCGATTTACGTGGGATCCGGGGTTGAACCCGATTTTTTTTTTTTTTTTTTTTGTCTATTTTCATTAACATAACTAAATATTTAAAAAAGAATAATATGATCACTATATCATTATTTAAACTTCTTAAATTTAGAAATCATGTATTATGAGAAGCTAATTTATTTTTTTAGGGAGGGCGAATTTAGTACTATATAAAAATACATCAATGAAAACCAATAAAAAATAGGCAATTTTTTTTTTTTCATGGAGGGGTGGCTGCCCCCATGTAATACCCATTTTGTGACTTAAATATATTTTTTAAAAATCAAAATATACATCGTCAATAACCGGTTATATATATATATTTGATCAAGATCAGAAATACGTGCGTACCTTGTTAAAATTGATTCTTTCAGGAGATAGAATGGAAGTTTTAGATTGAAGGGAAGTGAACTTGGTGGAAGGCAGTGAGACTGCAGCACTTACAGCAGCAGCCATTGTATGTTAGAGAGAGAAAGTAAGAGAGAGATGATATTATGATAATGAGTGAAGTGGGGGGAATGGAAAAATCGGTGAAGGAGATGAAGGAAAGAAAGATTATTTGGATGGAAAAATAAAAGAGAAGATTATTTGGATTGAGTGGAGGAGATTGGAATGCCAATGCAGTGGCAATAGTGAGGATAAGAAAATGTGTTCAAATGTAGGACACCTCAAATTTCTGCTTGTGGGGGGGCCCATTTGCACAAATTAAATATATTTCCTTTCTCACCCTGAATTAATCATCACTCATCACCATTTGATTTTATTTTTAGATTCAATACTATCAAGTAGAAACCGAATCAAGATGTGAGCTCTAATAAATTTTGATGGCAACAATCTCCTGGGTGATGTTTGGAATGATTTTGAGAGTTATTTACCTTATATTTTTGGAGGAAATGTATTTTGATTGAATAATTTGAGAATAAAAGTAATGATTAATGTTTATGATTTTAGATTGGTTACAATACACGGTAACAGTCTAATCATGCTTAAAGTTGTCAGAAAAAATATATTTTAGTAGAAAAATTTGAAATATAAAGTGATGTTTGTTTATTTTTTAGTGCGAATATTTTTATTGTAGTAGTCAAATTTTTGTATTATAGCAGGTTTTTGGAAAATTATTTTGAAAAATTATTTTGAAAAACTAAACAAACATGAATTCATTTTCGAGAAAGAGTAAAAGTGAAATTAAAACATATCCAAACATTGCTCTAGGATTTTAATGTAATGATGACTTACAGTCTTTATTAACATAGTTAGTGCAACTGTTAAAGAAAGAAGAAAAGATCAACTGGAATCTATAAAAACAATAATCATTCCTTAAGAATATGATTTGAAATTATAAATTAAAAATCCCACTTGATATTCTTCTTTATTTTAATCGTGAAAATTATACACTCGTTTAAGCCTGAAAATGATAAATTATAAACCCATTGAAATCTGAAGATATTGGATTTTCACAGTGAACTTCTAGTAGTGAACATTGATTATAAACTTATATATGGTACACTCCCATACCCCGACCTATTCAGAGACACGTCTCATCATGTGTTCTTATGAATTTTTAGTTTAAAAAAATGACGAAAGTTGTGTACATTGAACGAGTGAGAAACTTTAGCTAATTATGCCACTACTTTCACAACTTGAAAAGAAATACGGGCACATTTTAGCTCAACGATTGTGGAAACGCTCTCCTTTTTTTTTTTTTTTTTTATGTGCCCTAGACCCTAGCTTTGCTTCACGTTGTCGGTTGCCCGATGCAGTCGCCAAACCCTCTCCAGCGTCGTCCTTGATACGCGTTTTCCTCACGTATAAATTACCGCAAGTATACGGTATCGCATTTTGCAGAACAGTGGTTCCGGATATCGATCCACAAGAACCTTGTAGATTCAAATGCTGAGTAGTGTAATTATATTATCGTTATATTATCTAGCCGATCGTAAATAAGTGGATTGGTGATAAACCCTAATTTAAAAGCATGCAAGATCGTAAACATGCAAATATGGAATGTACGTAAATAAAGTACGACAACTCAACGCGGGGGACTTCGATTTAAAGGGGACTTCTAGGGCCAAATCCACCTATATATAATCAACAACGATCTACAAATCCGTTATCTAACGCCACATTCCTATTCGTTAACCCAGACGCTAAAGTACTCTAACCCCCGTCTCCAGTGTAGTTAGAGTCTACCCACAGGTCCGACGTCTCCGTTCAGAACCTGCTATTAAGAGAGCATTTAGGCCAAGTCCTTAAGGGCTACCCGAAGTGCATCACGTCTCCGTTTCCACACCCCGAGCTATGTTTTCCTAACTTCAAACAAGAAATCCTCTCTCGAGTTCATTCCTATTTAATATCAATCTGAGAGCTGATCAACACAATCAGAAGCATTTAATACAGGAAAACATAAACGAAATCAAAACACGACAAATAGATAACAAAAATGACGATCGAAATCAATATATACAAGGTTTCATTGCCCTAGAAGAAAATGTTCTTAGTTCATAACAAACATAGTATCAAAAGAATGTACAAAGGAAATGAAGAACAAAACGTAAAGTAATTGCGTAAGAAAAACCCAAGTCGGAACCCCCGTTGATGATTCCCGCGAAGAACTGTCGAAAACCGTAAAAATGTCGAAGAAGAACGAAGAGTGAGGGCTTGTTTCTATTTATAGTAAATTGCAAAGCTTCCTCAAGAAGCTTTGCTTTTTAAAATATCTGCCCTCGAAAATCGTGCCAGATCGCGATCCAATAAAGTCGGATCGCGATCTGGCTTCTCGAAAAAACGTGAACCGCCATCCCAGACGGTAAAAACAGACCAGAAAAAAAAAACTAAACCGCCGGAATCCGGCGACGGTAAAAACAGACCAGAAAAAAATAAAAAATAAAAGGGTAAATTACAACCACTCCTGTGAGGTATGGTCAAATTACGAAAACCCCCCTCTTGTTTGGATAATTACAACCACCCCCTCAACTCATCAAATTTACTGGATCTTCGAGATTATATAGAATATTATCACTTTTGTACCCGTTTTATCTTATTCGAACTCTACATTTTGAAGCAAGATGATCATAATATGTGTTTTTTGCTTGTATATATCAGAATGTGGTGCATCAGAAACTGTATTTTTACATAAAACGAGTACAAACTAGAGCACATTTCACAGAATCTAGATGATTATGTTGAATTTGACACCATAATGGGTGGAGGTGTAAGAAAAAAATATAGTTGAGGGGGTAGATTTAACTATCCAAACAAGAGGGGTTTTTGTAAATTGACCATACCTCAGGGGAGTGTTTGTAATTTACCCAAAATAAAAAATAAAATCGAAAAGTCAACGCCGGAGACCGACGGCAAGAAAATACTTTTTTTTTTTAAAAGGTCAAAATTGGATTCTTGTGGACAAAATTGATTAAATTGGGGTTACAATTAAGAGTTGGGTGTAAAGGTTTGGAGGTAATTTTGTCATATACATGAATTTTTACTTTATTTATAATAAACATGGTTATCGGATCGTAAAAATATCTCGTATCATTTTTCTCTATGTCTCATATCATATCGTTATCGTACCGTATCGTAAGATATTTAACCAACTATTAAATTAGTAAGAGATATATATCTAAATTATAAAAACATTATAAATATGTAAAATTTAATATAACTACTTATTTCAAAATAGGTATAAATTCAAGTTTCAATATCATATTATAAAATATAACAAAAATCATATATGTTCATCAAATAGCATCATCTAAGAGGGTGTTTGGCTAGGCTTATAAGACGTTAAAACGAGCTTATAAGATGTTTAAGAGTTATTCTAGTGTGTTAGGTAATTTTTTTAAAAGATTTTAAAAAGTCAAAATATTATAGGCTACTGGAGAGCAAATAAGATTTTTTTAAAAAGTATTTTTACCCACCTATTTATTTAAGGTCATATAATGAGTAAAATAGCTTGTAAGATTACTATCCAAACACTTGAAAAAAATCATTTTAAAAGTAAGACGTAACAACTTATTAGCTCTTAAAACAACTTATCAAATGTAAGAGTTTATCAACTGTGTAAAATAAACTTAACCAAATTGTCCCTAAGTTCAAATCCGAATACCTAATTTCTAAAATATTCGATATCTCGTAATTTTGAAGATCAATGTCACTTAAATCGTCATCATCTACCAATTTTAAACGATTTCATTCATCATCATCAATCGCAAAATCCAACAAAAAAAACGCCTCGAACTGGTCTTGAATCGCAAGAATCTATAGAAATTGAATTAGGGTTGTAATATTGTGAGGGTTGGTGAAGAAATTGAAGAGAAAAATGTGAATTAGGGTTGGGATATTGAAGAAATCTGTTCTAAATGGTTTTTCAGAGTAGTTGACTGCATTTCTTCTTTTTTTTTCTTCGTTTTTTTTTCATTTTTTTAAAGGTTGACTAATATCGTCAATATCGTATCGTATCGTGATACAGCAATATGATACGATATCTCGCGATATTTAACGGTATTTATCAATCGGCGATACATAACCCGAGTTGTATCGTTTTGATTGGAACCATACCGTATCGCGATATATATCGCGGTATATCACGAGATTAACGACAGTACAATTACTTTAATGTACTGTTAGTGATAATATAATTACGTTAATTTACTTTCAGTGACAGTATAATTATCGTTAATGACAGCACAATTACGGTCAACGTTTAGCGGCGGGCGTAAAAAAAAACACTAAACCGCCGGAATCCGGCGACGGTAAAAACAGACCAGAAAAAAATAAAAAATAAAAGGGTAAATTACAACCACTCCTACTCCTGTGAGGTATGGTCAAATTACGAGAACCCCCCTCTTGTTTGGATAATTACAACCACCCCCTCAACTCATCAAATTTACTGGAATCTTTGAGATTATATAGAATATTATCACTTTTGTACCCGTTTTATCTTATTCGAACTCTACATTTTGAAGCAAGATGATCATGATATGTGTTTTTGGCTTGTATATATCAAAATGTGGTGCATCAGAAACTGTATTTTTACACAAAACGAGTACAAACTAGAGCACATTTCACAGAATCTAGATGATTATGTTGAATTTGACACCATAAGGGTGGAGGTGTAAGAAAAAATTATAGTTGAGGGGGTAGATTTAACTATCCAAACAAGAGGGGTTTTTTGTAAATTGACCATACCTCAGGGGGTGTTTGTAATTTACCCAAAATAAAAAATAAAATCGAAAAGTCAACGCCGGAGACCGACGGCAAGAAAATACTTTTTTTTTTAAAAAAATCAAAATTGGATTTTTGTGGACAAAATTGATTAAATTGGGGTTACAATTAAGAATTGGGTGTAAAGGGTTGGAGGTAATTTTGTCATATACATGATTTTTTACTTTATTTATAATAAATATTAAATGGATGGGCTTATTGGTGGAAGAGATATAGCCCCTAAACCTATAATAATAAAAAGGGTAAATTCAACTTTACCCCCTTGTACTCTGCCCAAAAACCACTTTACCCTCTCGTACTCTTAATTTCGTTGATTTACCCCCTTGTACTTATACAATTTCCCAATACAACCCTCTTCGTCAACTTTTTTTCGATTTTGACTCTGACGGCATTTGGTCAAGAGTCAAAATATTGATTTTTTTCAATTTTGACTCTCGAGATTAGAAAAGAGAAAGTTTCACACATTCATATATTTTTTTTCTTTGCACTGGGCAGAATGGATCAATTTTTGGGTCTTGATTTTTACTAAGTTAAGGGTTCAATTTGGGGATATCTTGGAAGGGGAAGTGGTGGGAGAAGAAGAAATGACAATATTGACGGAGGAGAAACGACGCGTTATAGGCAGTGGCAATTTTGTAATTTACAAAGTTGACCAAAAATGGCGTTAGAGTCAAAATTGACAAAAATTAAAGGAAAGGGCTGTATTGGAAAATTGTACAAGTATAAGGGGGTAAATCGATAAAATAAAATTGAGATTACGAGGGGGTAAAGTGACTCTCAGACAGAGTACGAGGGGGTAAAGTGGAATTTACCCTAATAAAAATGATTGGTTAGTAGCATGGATATGGAGGAATTGGGCCGAGAGAAAGTCTTTAGGCGACCGGGCCGAGCCTGACTCACTGACCACTACCCACTTGCGCCAACCCAATATTACCTGATATCCATTTCGAATAAACCATTTTTATTTTTATTTTATTTTTTATTTTTTATTTTTTATTTTTTTCCTCTTCGCGAGGGAGCAGAGACTCTCACTGATTATTCTTTGTTCTGAAGAACCAACCAACAAACAACTTCAATGGCGGGTAATCTAAATTAAATTGCTTTCCTTTTCGTTTTGATGTGTATAGGGGCATTTTATTATAGCTTAATTGCGCTCCTAATTTTGGCTAAAATTTTATTTTTGTTGCGGCAAAAGGGGGTCAATTGGAGAGAGAAGACAAAGTTTCGTTAGAACTCACAGAAGAAATCCTTCAGAGCATGGAAGTTGGGATGGCCTTCCGTGATTACGTTTGTGCTCTCTCTCTCTCTCTCTAGACTCTCTCTCTCTCTCTCTGCTTAATTTTGTAGCTAATTTCGAGTTGCTGCTTTCAAGATACATTTATTTCGTGGATGAGTAAAATTAAGAAACTATTTGGTTAAAATTTGTGGAGCTAGTATGTACTGATATTTATATATTTGTGCAGAATGGTAGAATTAGTTCGATGGATTTCCATAAGACATCTAGTTATTTGGTAACTGCTAGTGATGATGAATCCATTCGCCTTTATGATGTCTCCACTGCAACGTAAGCATTTCTTTTCCTCCTTTTTATTTTTATTTTATGGTGAATCTACATTATGCAAGAAGGATTTTTCTTATCGTATGTATCAATAATAAATAATTCTAGTAAGTAATTGTTTACTTCATAGGATTAGGTTCATAAATATCCAACTTCGCCCATCATAAATTCGTATTTTTCTTAGGATGACCCGTCTTATGAAATAGGTATGATGAACATATCCTAGTGGGATGGAAATATGATAAAGTAACAAAACTTTATTTGATCTACCATTTCTCGTCTAAACAAGGATTTATGCCGCCTCTAGTTTTATTAGATTTCACCATGATGAAATCTTTATTGAAAGCAAAAATTGAAGAATTGAAACGTATTTTACTTTGTGACAATGGTCTTGAAGAAGTGAATTATTTCAATCTTCGTACGTTTAAGGTTTAATAGGGTACCTAATTTATCTTCGTCGAGATTTAGAGCTACAACGTTTTGGCAATTCATATGTCTAGAATTATTGTTACAGTGCTGATATATTAGCGTTGGCTTCAACTTTATGCATTCTGGTGCCTGATTAAGATCTGCTTGAATGTTTGAAAGACACTACATATTGAGATGAATCTGCTCGTATTATTTCTCAATATGCAATGTAGGTTTTTAAATGGAACTAGTTAACTTGCACTTGTGATTTGTAACAAAATAAACGAGTGTTTGCCTGAGGGTCTGCTAATGGACTAGAATTTAACTATGCAGTAAGGCCTTATATTGCCTATCACGTATCGGTATTAACGGAAAAGTGATGCTCAAAGCTGTGACGACAAATCATTATTTACAATTTCAATTGCACTGAAATTTGTTAATTCATTTTCCTTTCTCTTCGATCACATCCTTTCCATCAAGAGATGTGCAACATGTGGCAAGAATCGCCAACTATAAATCCATTTTTGTTATTGCACTCGTAATCTTCTTCGTAGTAGTAGATGTAGATGAAGTTCTCCTTTTTGCGTTTAACATACACATTGATCGAGATGTAAAACCATAGTCAATTTAAGCATGTAAACTCCCAAAGTTAAAACTGTGACCATCAAAAACAAGATATACTCGTCACATGTCATTCTTACATGCCAATTGCTTCTTACATTTCTTTGTGGATTTATAGACTTCATCATTTAATAGTAGTTGTATGCAGCTTTCCAGCCCTAAAATGCCATTGATTCATAAGAAGACATTATAGAAGAAAGTTTTATCTTTTTTTAGTCTCTAATCTGGATTTCTTCCGTTGTGAGTAAGCTTCAGGGATCATATTAATTACAAATGTTCTGCATCATCTTACGATTGATTTCAATTGCCCGTGGATATGCTAATTGAGTTTACTTACCGCATTCAGATGTTTGAAGACGATCAACAGTAAAAAATACGGTGTTGATCTAGTTTGCTTTACTTCTCATCCTACAACTGTTATCTACTCGTCGAAGAATGGCTGGGATGGTATGCATTTCAATATAGTATCCGCCTTAATTTCCGAGTAACATATTCAACCACTAAGTACCTTTTTTTGTAATGACAACAGAATCACTGCGGCTTCTCTCGTTGCACGATAACAAATACTTGAGATACTTCAAGGGTCATCATGACAGGCACGGTTCTCAATCTTTCTTTAAGCATTCCTTTTTTTCGTATTATTGATACGGTAAAATGAAGCATTCTTATATTGGATTCACAGAGTTGTCTCCCTTAGCCTGTGCTCTAGAAAAGATTGTTTTATTTCTGGATCTCTTGATCGAACGGTTTTGCTTTGGGATCAAAGAGCCGAGAAATGTCAGGTGAAGCACGCACTATTAAATTCTCAGTTGGTCAAATTATTTCTCTTTTATTTTCGTTAAACGATGATTCTTTGGAAATAGGGGCTTCTGCGTGTTCAGGGGAGACCAGCTGCTGCTTATGATGATCAGGGAGTTGCTTTTGCCATTGCTTTTGGAGGATACGTAAGAATGTTTGATGCTCGCAAATACGAAAAGGTCAGTATATATAATTAAGAGGGTGATTGGCTAAGCTTATAAGCTTTTAAAAGGAGCTTATAAGATGTTTTAGAGCTTATAAGCTCTTCCAAAGTGTTTGGTAAATTTTTCAAAAAAGATCTTAATTTTTTTTAAAATAAGCTGTTGGAGAGCAAATAAGATCTTTTAAAAAAAGTACCTCGAACCCACCTTTTTATTTAAGATCTTATAATGAGTAAAAATGGAAAATAAGCTCATTATCCAAACAATCTAAAAATTAATCCTAAAAATAAGATATAACAACTTATCAGCTCTTAAAACATCTTATTAGACGTAAGAACTTATCCGCTGTTTAAAATAAGCTTAGCCAAACACCCTCTAATACATTAGAGAAATAAGTCGATCAATTGTTGGTTTTCTCAAACACTGATTTATGAACTGTTTAAAGGGCCCTTTTGACATATTTTCTCTCGGGGGAGATATTTCGGAAGCTAATGTTGTGAAGTTCAGCAACGACGGGAAACTTATGCTTTTGACAACGTCAAATGGACATATTCACGTGCTTGATTCCTTCCGTGGCACCCTTGTGAGTCGTTCATTTTCAAAACATTTTATTCATCGGTTTTACAGATTTAATTTGATGAGAGCGGCCTTTTAATCGCGGTTTCTTTTGCTCTAGTTGTCAACGTATAACGTGAAGCCAGGTTCAAGCAATTCTACTTTGGAGGCGTCTTTCAGCCCCGATGGAATGTTTGTCATATCAGGTACGTGTGCCATAAAATTTTAAATAAGACATTTGATATTAGTCTTGTTTGACTTGATCTGTATTCGATTTTTAAAATTACTTTTTTCTTGCTGTATATTTTACGCTCCAGTGTCTTTTGTGAAGTTTTTGGTTACGTTACATATTGGCAGTCACTTATATGATATCCAAATGAGTTGCAACTCTGGATTTTTGATATATGGTGTAGTAAGAGAGAAAATGTTTAATGCAGCGACTTATATGAAATCTACGTTGTTTCCTTAAAGTGTTTCGCTTTCTCTGTTTAGGAAAATAAGTTAATAACCATAAGAATGAAGAATATACCCGTAACGGGAGAGTGATTATATATGTTAATTTCTACAGGGAGTTCGGTCAAACCATAGCTACACTATTGCACAATTTTATAATTCAGAAAGAGAACGGATCACAAAATCTCAGATCACAATTTATTTTACTAAATCGAACCGCTTCGTGCAATTTTGACAGGATAGGGTTTGTTCTTGTTCTGGAGTTCATTGTCTACGTTTTGTTTCACTTACGATCCTTGACATTTTTATGCTATGTGACAGGTTCTGGAGATGGTAGTGTTTATGCTTGGAGTGTTCGCAGTGGCAAAGAGGTACGGTAATCTGCTCGTTACTTCAGTTGCTTTAGTGCTCACGTCTTCTTGACGATTATGGAAAAATTACGTCGGCAATTGTTGTGACATTTTAACTTCACAAGCCTTACGTCAGTTTCTCTGAGTGTGAGTTTTAGTAGTATCTTCTGTTTTTTTGACATTCATTTCGTGTTTTAGGTTGCCAGCTGGATGAGTACTGAAGCTGAACCTCCAGTAATTGAATGGGCTCCTGGAAGCTTAATGTTTGTGACGGGTTCTTCCGAGTTATCGTTTTGGGTTCCGGACTTGTCTAAATTAGCAGCGTATGTTGGACGGAAGTAAGAATATTCACAGGTACTTCTTTTATCGAATATATACACTGCTGCTGCGTTTTCCCTTCCTCGATTTCTCCAATTTGGGTAATAAATTATTCGGTCGTCTATGCTATAAGCTTGACATTGCTAATTTACAGATGGAGAGATGACTTACATGTAAGAATAATCGTAACAGTTTGACGTGACTTAGATATTTAATCTCTCGTGTGTGCTTCTCATCTTGGAGTCGACTATATGAGTTACAATGGATGCTGACGAAGCAAAAGATCGATTTAGAGTGTCCACGGATGAGGTATGCATGTGTAACTTTTTTTCATGACCAAAAATCTCTTCTTGGTAGTGTATCTGTGTAGTTATTATAGTTTCTTAGTGGGTGTTAAGTGGCGATTGTTTGTGTTTTAAACTTCTTTTTACCTGGAATACGGAGTTTAAAATGAAGTATTGATGTTAGATTATTACAGTGTTTCTGTAAAAAAAAAAAAAAAAGCACACACAGAACTATGATGTGTTTGTTTATGTTATAAGATGTTTTAGAAGATTTTTTTGTTTTTGTTTTTTTAACGTAAGCTTCTTACACGTTTTTTTAAACTATCGATTCAAATGTAGGAGAAGGTTGCTAAAGCATAATTTGTTACTCGTTAATTTAAAAGTAGGTCCAACTTATTCATATATGGACTTACAGTATGTTCTAGTGACTTGCCTGGCAAAGATATGCTTGTTTAATTCAATTTAGCTAGTCAAAGTGTTGTGAATTTTCGGATAGATTATTAATTTCTAGGACTAGGAAATTTAGCTTCATCTACTTGTTATATCTGGATTTATAGGGAGGGTTAATTTGTTTTTTCTATTTTAATTAAACAATCAGAAAACGGAATTTAACTAAGTTTCATCTCTTACTTGGTCAAGACATACGGATCGAAATCGGTACATCTTTGGAATCCATTAATATGTCCAAAAATGAAAAATTCAATGTCAATAGAGATGGGCTGGTTAATTTCACAAACTGCTCTGATTGCTTTAGAGACGATCCCAAGATTTTTCGCAAAATCATGCCTAAAAAAATCAAGAAGATTTACTAGTTTGAAAAAAATTTAAAACCTTAAAATTCGGAAAAACTAGTTTCGGATTCGAACATGTGCGATGCCTCTTTCAGGGACTTGTAGCGAAATAAATAAAAGGTGTATGTCTATCCTTGTGGCAATATAATTGTGGTACCCAAATTTTCCCATAATAAATCAACTATGTGGATTGTCGTTGTTGTAGGACATTATACATGGAAGATTCACAAATTGTCTGGGATCGACTGGATCAAGAACTTGCTTATTTATTCTGATTCGATGGTAGAAATGGCCCGTATATTTATTTTGAACAGGAAAATGACCAATTATTGTGACTATATGAAATAGTTGAAAGGGCGAATTGCACGTCACCCCCCTATAAATTTCTAATTTTTGCACTTTACCCCCCTCCAAATTTTAAAAAAGGGATTTTCCCCCCCCCCCCCCCCCCCCCCCCCCTTTCAGCATGTTATTTTTGTTGCACATTGTCCCGATAGCAAAATTCCGATGGACTATTCGTCGGAATTGAGTGTTTTTGTTGCACATTGCCCCTTTAAATGTTTTTTTGGTTGCACAGTGCCCCTTTAAAGTATTATGTTTCTGCACATTGCCCCTTTAAAATGTTATTTTGGTGTACGGTGCCTACAAAAAATTGGTTTTTGGGGCAAAGTGCAACCAAAACAATATTGGGATTATCTCTTTTTTTGAATTTTTAGGGGGGAAAGTGCAAAATTGGGAAAGTTTTAGGGGGTGAAGTGCAATTTGTCCTAGTTGAAATGGTAGATCTTTGTATTGTTACCACACCTAATAGTTGGTTTAATTTGTTCCATCTCATATGCTTAGATTGCTAGCAGTTGTTTCTGTGTTGTCCGGATGTCAATTAGTATGTAAATCCATCTTCCTTTTGTAAGTCAAATAATAATGACATCTTTTTAACTCTCCAAGTGCAATTTTGAAGTGATGGATAGAATAATACAGAAAGATGAACACACAAGTATATAGAATAATTGAAGGAATATATGTAGGAAAAATTTGAATGTGTAAAAGACTATGCTGCTGGAAAGATTTCCTTTATTTTTGCTAGAAAGTGAATTTATGTGTACCTTAAAAAAAGAATTGAAAGATCTGCAAAACAAAATATTTGAAAAAAGAATGATTTTTTTTTTGTTGTCCCATTACTAATACTAATTTTCACATGCACCACATTAATTGAAGGAGTGACTTTTGGGTGTCCAAAAATGGAGTTATTGTTCATCAATTGCAATAAAGTTTGAGAAAATGTGAAACCAAAAAAAGGAAATCACATCCCATAAAAAAATCTTTGTGATAGAGACATATTGGTGATGCAAGAGAACAAAAGAACCTAATTAATAAGCCCCATTGCCCCCACTTGTCAGTTACATGCCCTTTTCTGCTATCCGCAGCAACTATGTCTCTTCTGCATCTCAAACTTTTGTTTTCAAAATTAACTCTTATTTTTTTTTTTTAACTTAGGAAACCCTTTCGATAAAGTACAACTTGGATCATCACTTCTGAATAGTTGTTTTTTTGGTTAGGGTTGGGATATTTGCAAATGTTATTAATGATAAATATTTAAGCAGTAAATTTCTTTTTGTTTTTATTTTCTTTTTTCGAGAAATTATGATTGAACGCGAAGGATTACAATAAGTGGGTATCGGGATTTCGGTTATTTCTGTGCTACACCCGGTGAAGACTACATCGGGTGATTTTTAACTATTGATCTACACACACCAATGTCAGGGTGTGTGTGTGTGTTTGTGTGTATATTAATAGTAAAGCTCTACTCGGTGTATTTCACCCGCTGCAGCATAGAATAGACCCGGGACTTCCCTGTTATAGGAGTTCAAATTTCTTTGGATGCATGTAGTGTAATAATCATTTCTAAGAATAATATTTTTTTATGAAAGCAAAACATAAAAAAGAAAAAAAAAAAAAAAAAAAATAAGATATTGTTGTGATTTAGGAGAATACAGTTCTTTTTTTCTTTTCTTTTTTTTTTTTTTTTTTGATAGGCTAAGAGAATTCAGTTGATATCATAGCCATTCATTGACACGTATGATTTGGAAATTACAACAAACAGCTTGGATGGGAAAATGAAGCAACTGCAAAAATAAGCATCAAATTGGTTAAGTATCAAAACTATTTATTCACTATTATTGCTTAGATAGTGAAATTCCAGGGACCTCCTCTCTTAGATGAAATATTATTATCCAGACCTCCCTACTTAGATGAAAAATTTACACATAGCTCCCCTAGTAAATGTCTTAGTCGTAGATTCTCCATAAATTGCCAATATTAAATTCTATTTTATTTACATATGTTCTAATTCCACTTTGCACCCTTAAGACGTAACATTTTGGCATTTTGCACCATTAAAAATAATTTATTGCACTTTGCACCCTCAAAACATGTTTAATCGTTCAAAGGGCACATTAGTATATTTTTTTACCATAATTTTCCATCGTTAACTTATTTTTTAATCGTCAACTTCGTCATTTTTGTCTATTCAATTGATTTTTTCTTCAGGATAAAAAGTGCTAATGTATTTTCGACTGAAAATAACTGTTGGTAGTCAGAAAATAGGTTAACAATGGAAATTCATTATGGAAAATAAATTAGAATGTAATTTGAACAATTAAACATGTTCTAATAGTTCAAAATGCCATCAATTATTTTTGAGGGTGTAAAGTGCCAAAATAGTACTTTTCAACTATGCAAAATGAAATGAAGTAAAATAATTTCAGGAAAACTACTTTTTGTGCTTTGATGTACAGTTATGATTTCTAATATACCACCGATTCTGTCTTTCGTTCTAATTACAATATATATATATATATATATATATATATATATATATATATATATATATATATATATATATTTATGCAAATCTTATTTGTGGTGGTACTTCAACCTTTTTTAGCTTGTTGCTCCTTAATCGGTTCGTCAACAATTGAATCATTTGAAAAACTGATGATTTAACATTTCCTAAAACTATACTATTGTAATTGAATTAAAGAAAAGATTGTAAAAATATTTAAGGGGGAACAATTCTTACATCTTTTGACTATTTCACCGTCATTTTCTTTCTCAAACGGAAATAATTTGGAACAATAACAAAAAATTACAAAGAATCACCTTCTAAGAATTTATTGTAACAATATGTCCCTAATAAATTTAAGTTATTTTTCTGACACCTCTCACTTACGGAGCTAGAACATTTTATTGCGGGTTTTTTTCGAAATGATACAAAGGCTCGGAGATAAAATTTTGGGTGGTTAGGGTGCATCGCCCCTGATTGTTTTTAGATGAATGCATTAAAAATTCGAAACAGCAAAAATAAGTAAATATTTCTCAATTTTATTTGAGAATAATATAATTTTTAACCATTATATTTCATAATAAAATGTTGAATTAAGTAAAAATATATACAATAAGATGCCAAAATCCATATTGGGGTCTCCGGTCTCCCCCTCAGCCCGCATTACCATACGCCCCGGACCGTCTCTTACTGGTCAAGATCGATTAAAAGTATAAAAATAAGGAATTGAATTAATTTTTATGATGAAGCTACTATTTCTTATCCAAAAATTTGATAGAGCGTGTAACTTAGGGATGTAAATAAGTCGAGACGGCTCGATAAAAGTTTAAACTCGAACTCGAATTTTTCGAGCTCGAGCATGAGCTTTCTAACTACTCGAATCCGAGCTCATTTTTAGTTGTTCATGAGCTCGGGAGCTTTTTTGTTTTAATTTTAATTTAATTTTGGATTTTTAATTTAATTATTTAATATAAAATAAATAATAAAATAAATTACAGTTGTTTCTTTATTATAAGTTATAATAATAAATTTATAATAATATTAATAAAAATTATAAAAAGAAAAACACAATGGCTTAGGCTCGATCTCGTAAAAATGGATTAGTTCGAGTTGGAGTTCGAGCTCAAATTCGTCAAAACAACCAAGTTCGGCTCGTTTACGCTGCTTGTATGATTGAAGCCATCTAAAACAGGGAGGTTCCAGTAATTTTATTATATAAAAGGGGTCCAGGTGAAATTAATGATAACAATAATAGGCCCTTCTTTTTTTTATTTCCCGCACCCCCTAATAATAATAGGGGTTAATCCGCAAAATAGAATGATATAGGGCATTGGGAAAAGGGCAATAACTGCAAATAGTGTTGTGGCATTTACGATGCAAAAAGATAAATAAATATATATATATATATCCCTCAAGAATAACGGCCGGATATTGGTTTTGGTACCTCTCCCAATAAAAAGCTTTTCACTTCTTCTTTTTGCAGTCTAATTTTCAACACCATTCATCATTAGTGCATCTCTGTACTATCTCTTCAACTTATTTAACTTTTTTTTTTTTTTTTTTTTTTTTTTGGTTTTAGGCTTTTAGCTTCACTTCACTTTGTATTATATGATTTTAGTCATTAAATAAAAATTTCACCTCTTTCTGCTTAATAAAGATTTGCATTTCCGTGGACCGTGATCTATATTTATCGGTGTTGAAATTATGACTGCACTGGCCGGTTGAACTGGTTAAACTGCGAATTGCTATCTTGACCGGTTCGATTCGACCTGTTGAACTATAATATCGGAACCCAAATGAAAATTGGATTTTTTTACACAAAATTGTGCATTTTTTTAAAATAAACAAAAAAATGGCTAAAACGACGTATTCCTAATGTCCATTTGAAAAAAAGTTAATTCAAAATAAAACACTTTGAAATTGGAAGATATTATTTTAGATTATAATTTCTATAGTATTTCAAATGATTCAGTGTGATATGTGTGTATTGTGTTGATATCTTGTGTGTGTAAAATCAAAGTAGGTTTAATTTACATTTCAGTTGGAAATGAGTAATTAGTTAATTTGTATGAAAGAAAATATGTTTTATTTACTATAAAATAAAATTAAAAAAATTGGTTGAACCGGTCTAACCGCGACCCAACAGTTTGTCCGAGTCAATGTCCAATCCGATTTTTAAAACTACGACAATTACTTAAAAATTAAATAAAAAAAATCAAATGTCATATAGACACGTGCTGTTTAAAAATGATTTATTAGCCAAGAAAAATAGATAAACAAAACCATAATGGACCAAGCGAGTATAACCGTATACCGGTTATTTATATGCTACACACGATGACGATGAAGACTACACTGGGTGATTTTTTACTGTGGATTTACACACATTAGTATGGATGTACGTGTGTGTTTGTGTGCACATGAATGGTAAAAATCTAACCGGTGTATTTCACCCGGTGTAATTAGTGGACTCTCAGTTTCATTCTCCACATAAATACTTATTAGTAATAAATAATAAGATATCTCAAATAAAATTAATTATACCTTACAATACTAAAGCAGCACATACTGGCCTTATATTTGAGGGTACATGTCTCAATTTAGTAGTCGGAAAAACAATTTCAATTGTGTATTTATAAGGTGTTGATTAAGTAGAGATTTACAATTGTGCCCTCTTTATATATATAGTTCATTCAATCTCTCACATTATAAGTTATAACTTATATTCGTGAGCAAAGCAAATAAAAAATATATAAATTATAAAATCAAAATCAAAATCGTTACTTACTCTCTTATTCCATAATAACTGTCTCTTTTTAAAAATATTTTATTCCATATTATCCATCATTTTAGATTTTCAATATTGCATTAAGTATATATTTTTTGTTTTAACATTATCAATTAAACTTTAAATATTATCTCTCTTATTACATCGTTATATTAACAAGATTATTTTAGTCTTTTCCATATATCTTTCCTAAAATCAAGATACATTTTTGACATTCTTAATGTGCAAAACTGAAAAACAACAGCTAATTAGGAACTTTAGCGCTGTCATATATGTATACAATTAATGTTACCATTGAAAAATGTGTTTGTTCGAAATGTGCTTAAACTAAACGTGCATTTCCAAGCATAACTAAGCCGTCGATTCCAAAATGTGAACCAGTGGTACATGACCCGGTCCGGAACCAACCCCAAAATTTCAAAATATTAGAGGTTGATCTCTATATCAAGAACATTAAGAGGAAACTAAGTAAAAAATCTTGAAATTTGGGGGAAAAAAAACAACTAACTACAAATGAAAGGTAAACAATTAAATTGTTGCAACATATATAGTACCTAGTTAACCAAAGTGATGAGTAGTTAATATGCTAATTAGTCTTCATAAAATACTAAGAGTTTGGATAAATAAGTTAATAATTACACAGCATCATTCCATATTATAATATATATATATATATATAGGCTAGTACTAATAGTCTTCTAATAAAGAGTGGTAAAGAAAGTGTACTTTAATTTAAAATTAATGCATATATATAGCCGTAAATATAATAATAATATAATAATATTCAAGAAGTGGAGAATCTGGTGCAGGAGGCGGCAGCAGCATAGGAGTTGAGGGTGAGCTCAAGAGAAGCCATAGGTCCGGCGACGGCGGAGGAATCATCATCATCAGCTTGAGGACGGCGGCGCCACCCATTAAAGTCGTGCTTGACCAAGTCGTCGCCGTGCATTGGGAAGAGAGGAAGGGTTTCAATCTGCTGCTCCTCCATTTCCATTTCCATTGAATCTAGGGCTTGACCGTATAATTTTCTCTTCTCAAGAAACGGGTGCGGGTACGGGTATGGGTGCGGGTACGGGTATGGATTATCAACACCTATCCATGCAAAGCTCTGCCCCATCGTTCCACCATTAACGCTTCCTCCTCCACTTTGATTATTTATCGAACACTCCTACATAATTTACATATATATATTTCATTATATATTAGTTTTATTTTATTATTATTACAAAATAAATATATACTTTGTAGAAAAAGCTGGTGTGTGTCTAGATCTCATGATTATTACTTTACAAAATTCAAAAAGAAACTTTATATTAATTATTCTCATGCTGTAATTTGTACGTACCCCCAATTAAATTAATGAATGAATTAAATAATAAAATAAATAAATAAACTAACCCGAAAACTCTTCTCCATGGCCACAGAACCATAATTTCCGACATGAGCACTACCTAGGAAACCTGGTGTAGAAGAAGTAGACGAAGATGGAAAATTACCACCTGTAAATAAATTCCAAAGAAAGAGAAACCCTTGATTAATTAATTTATAAGAAAATAAAATAAAAATAAATGTTATTATATATTACCAGCAGCAGGAGGAGGTGGGTTGGAAGAAAACTTGGTGTAGAGGTGATCTTGATGAGTGGTTTTCCAAGTATTATTACCAGGCCTGCTGACGTGGTGGTGCATTGTTGATGTAGGGATGATTTGATGATCAGAAGTGAAGCGCTTCTTCTGCCTCTCGCGGGCTTTGTGGTTTTGGAACCAGTAAAAAACATTCTTACCTTCAATCTTACCGTACTGTCTTAACTTAGCAGATATCCTCTGAATCTGTTCAGCAGTTGGAGATCTGACTCCATTGTTGTAGTAAAGCTCCTTCAGTATTCTTATTTGTTCTGTTGTCGGCGTCCACCTCGTACTGCTCTGCCTGCACATGTAACTGCTATTGTTGCTTTTCCCTCCTCCTTCTTCATTTCCATTTCCTTGCACTCCATTTTCTTCATGAGCTTCCGCCATCTTTCTTTTCAACAAACAAGAATGAATGAAGCTGGGAATATATTATATTATATTAGTGAGAGAGAATGAATCGGAGGATATTAATTAATTTGGTGGGTAGGTGTGGAGATGGGGATTATATATATTTCTCAGGATCATGAGTTTGATTATATTTAAAGAGGAGTGAGAGAGAGATAGAGAGAGAAGATATATCATGAAGTCACACCAGCAGCCCCACGCACATGGAGAGAGCTAGAGAGAGAGAGAGAGAGAGGTAATTGATATGGAGAGAGAGAGAGAGAAAGAGGTCTAGAGAGAGAGAGAGGGGGGATATGATCTGAGGGGGAGAGAGAGAGAGATATCTGGGAGAGAAGGACTGAAGTTGACAGAGCAAGGGGAAGAAAAAGGGAAGGGACAAAAGAGGGACTATAAAGTAGCATTTCAGACACACATTTGCTTGGGTTCTAAGCCATCCATGTCATCAAGATTTCTCATTATTCACCTCTACCCATCACCATCCCATCTTTTTCTTCTTCTTTTTTTTTCTTTTTCTTTTTTATACTTTCACTAATATATATACACACACACACACACATATCCTTGAACCAAATTAATAATATGAATATATGTGTGTGTGTGTGTGTGTGTGTATGCATGTGACTGTCTGAATGAATTAACTGAATGAATGAATGTTTCAAAGAAGTGATGTCTTTGTGATATATATATTTATATTTTCATGAGGGTTCATCTTTTAATGTAAGATATATATATATACAGTCTTTTTTGTTATCAGTCCCCCAATCTTTGTTCTCAGAGATATTCTTGTACTTACACAAATGAATTCATCATCCATATATATATAACATATATATGTATGTGTTTTAATGTAAACTGTATAAATAAAAAAATGGAGATATACTAAAATTAAAAAAAGTTTCTGAGAGAGAAATTAGTATGTTGATTGAGACATTGATGACAACTGGTACTCGAAACATCAATACCTACGTACTAGAGCTATATATATATATATACATATATATATATATATGTGTGTGTGTGTGTGTGTTGTATAGGTAGTATAGAGGTGTAGCTTAATTCCCTTGTTGTGTACTAATGATTTATATGTAGTAAAGTACATTTGGTCTTTTTTTGCAGATTTGAAACTATTATCAGTAACCTTGCATTTATGCCTTCCTACTCCTGCACAGAATTAATTAACTTATGTTGTACATATATTATTACTCTAACTTCATGGATTTTTATATTATATATATCATTTATTTATGCCCTCACTTCATAATTACATATTGTAATTTAAAAGATCGACTATTCCCTTAATCCCATGTTATTTGTCGTTTGAATAGGTTTTTTTGCCCAAATACTACTAGCCCCAAAGTACATAATGTAAACCCTAATTTAGCTTAAAATTCACCAATTAACTAATTTTGAACCATAACCCAAATTTTATCCGTGCCGCCAGAAACCAGGTGACTAATTTTTTTATTTTTTTTTAATTCCTGAAAAAAATATCCCATCGCCATTGATCGGTCTCTGGGGTTGATTTTTTTTTCTGGCTTTTAGACCGTTATAAAATAATATTACTAACATTAATATGAAATTATATTGTTGTTTTGGTTTGCAATACTCTTGTCTCAGACAATAATATTGTTGTTAACACAATATTAATATTGTTTTGGCCTACAATATTACTATCTCATATAATAATATTGTTGCAACATATACTGATATTATTGTGTTAATATTATTGTTGTTAACAGAGTAATAGTATTGTGTTAATATTGATATTCCTATTTCAAACAATAATACTACTGTTCGCACAACAATATTATTTCGTTAATTGTTTAAAAAAAAAACTAAAATAAAATGTAAAAGAATATTTAATGTTTTTGTGAATAATATAATATTATTGTGTTGACCGATAACTTAAATAATTCAAAAAAATTATAAAGAAAACAACGCCGAAGACCGGCTGTTAAAGGTGGTGGCGTGAAAAAAAAAGGTTTTCTTTTTTCAAAAAAAGAAGAAAAAAGGGAAAAAAAAAATCAACGCCGAAAACTAGATAAGTTTTTGACAGATTTTTTATTAAGGAACCAAAATAAAAAATTAAAGTCAACACCGTTCAATGGCCGGAAAAAAAGTCCAGAATAAAAGAAAAATCCAAATATTATGAAAATAAGGGTTAATGTGATATATTTGTTAAAAATGGAGATAATGCGCAATATTTATTAAAATCGTACGATTTACGATTCAAATCGTACGATTCGATTCAATTTGAATCCTTTTCGATTCAAATCATTGAATAAATCGTAAATTTTAAAAAATCGTACGATTTACGATTCGATTTGTACGATTTTACGATTTGTACAATTTTCGGAAAATATATATATTTTAAAAATAAAATTAAAAATTGTGCTAAAATGTTAGGTCTTAAGTACAAACACAAGTTAATATATGATAATTTCTCGTAATACCAACATTTTTACGTACTATCATGACTATTTTTTTCTTCTTTTAATATTGTTCATCTCCAATTGTATTTAGAAAAATCGATAATATTTTTATATATTCTAGATAGTTTTATTCTTATTTTTTTTCAATGTTTTATTTGATTTATTCAGACATATCGATTGCCATCAACTAATTGCATATTACGAATTTGCATGAGATCTTGAATGTATATATATATATATATATATATATATATATATTTGTTAGTATTATACAATGATTCATAAATACATGTACATCATTTAATATATTAATATTTTAATGAAATTAAAAAAATCTTATGATTTACGATCCATTACAATTTATGATTCGCAATTTTGACAAAAGGATTTTGGATTCGATTTAAGATTTGATAACCATGTTGTATTACACAACTCAAATTTAAAGGGTTAAAAGTATTTAGCCTATCATTTGCTACGTACTTATTACTGTTGATATATGTGCAAATGCAGTCACGTAATTGTGGTATAGTAGCTATAATATAATTTCGTCGCTATGGTTTGCTTGTCTCTTTCTGGGTAATAAACTGCCGAAAAGGAGAGAGAGAGAGAGAGAGAGAGAGAGAGAGAGAGAGAGAGAGAGAGAGAGTGGAAAGTATGATGATGATAATGAGTCAAAATCAAAGAAATATGGCTATCTCAAAGTTGATCTTTATCATAGGAAAGAGTAAGAGAGAGTGTGCAGCAGTCAGAATTCTTTTGGATGGAAAAAGTGGTAGTAGACTGTGACAGAATGAATTCAAGTCGAGGACCTCAAATTCAATAATTTCTAATTTAATTAATTAGTTTTACAATCAACAAAAAATTCCAGCATTATTCATATGTAACACTTATCTCTCTAAATTGTTTTTCTTTTAACATTTATCCACTTAAACTATCAATCAACACTCATCCCCTCCAGCACCATTTTCTTTGCATCTCAAAGTTTAAAACTACAATTAAAATTTCTCATAATGTATTGAATTGATTAATTGGAAAAGCAATTTAGTTAATTTATTCAAATATCAATTGAAAATTCAATGAATATTCTAAAATTTAAAATATCAATTGAAAATTCAATGAATATTCTAAAATTTAAAATATCTTCAAAATTAATATAACAATCTAATTTTGTTTGGCTGAGATAATTTGAAAAGTGAAAAAAAAATCAGATTTTTGAAAAGAATAAAACTAATAAATATTTTAGGACCGAGTGAATTAAAGGTATATTTGCACAACTAACTGTAAACCTATCAATGAAAATTAGATGCTACACCTAATTAGTTACACTTGGTGAATTTGAACCATAAGTCTAGTGTTTACATATAACACACATACACCCATGTGTATGTGTGTTTAGTGGATAATATTCAGGGTAAATGACTAGGCACATGACAAAGAACTTAAATATATATATGTTCAGACAAAAAATAGTCTTGCAAATAAACCCATTTTCATATATTTTGTCTAAAATATCCTCCACAATATAACTTTCATCAATTTCATCCATTATACACTAACTTCATTAATATTGCACATTGACTCCGAATTTGAACAAATATATCACATTAACCCCATTTTCATAATTTTTTAACAAAATATATTTTTTTTTTCAGAAAATAATTTTTTTTTTGAATTTTTTTTTCTAGACGGATTCCGTCGTTGACATTTTCTAATTTTTTTTTCCTCTCTAAATTACAATGTTAACAACAAAATTATTGTCTGAGTTAGTAATATTGAATAGCCAAACGGTAATATTACTGTCCCGAACAATAATATTATGAATATTACTTTCCCGAACAACAATATTACTAATATTATTGTCCCAAACAGTAATATTATTGCATGAGACAGTAATATCACGGTCGAAGACAACAAAATTGCAGGTCAAGACGATAAAATTAATTAATACAGTAAAATTACTGTCAGAGACAGTAAAATAGGAGGCCAAGACAGTTATGTAAATTAAAATATTTTTTTTAAGAAAAAAACAAGTTTTCAAGAAAGAAAGGAAAAAAAAAGTCAACGCCGGAGACTGGCGGTTGACCTGCCGGAAAATAAAATTCAGAAAAAAAAAGTTTTCAAAAAAAATAACTAAATAAAAGATAAAAAAAAAAAGTCAACGACGGTCTCTGGCGGTGGCGGTCAAAATTGGAATAAGGGTGAAAATTGGTTAATTGGTGAAATTGGGATAAATTGTGGCGTAAATCATGAAATTGGAGTTGAATAAGGGTTTATAATGCATTGGGCATAATTTTGGTATATATATAGAAGGGTATTCCTTATTTCCAAATAAGTTTGAATGAGCTGGATTTATTTGGAAGATAAAAAAGTTGGATCTCCCTTTTTTTAATTAAGTGCCTTGTCATGGTCCTATTTGCTATTTGCCCAATTATTTAATCAAATTTACAGTGAAAATCCACCAAATGGAAATAACTTCCCCTTGAACTAGATTCATCATATTTTAGGATTCCAAGTCGTTCATTGCCACGAAAAATACATTGGTATGCCAGCTTCGATGGGGCGAACGCGAAAGGAGATTTTTATCTTTCTCAGGGATCGATTGTGGGTGAGAATCAAAGGTTGGGGCGAGAAGCAGTTGTCTAGGGCGGAAAAAGAAGTGCTTATTAAAGACGTCCTCCAGTCTATTCCTTTGTACATAATGAGTTTTTTTCTAATTTCTCAAGGACTCATTCGAGATCTAGAATCAGCAATAAAAAGGTTTTGGTGGGGGATGAAAGCTCGGGGAA